ACTCGACGAGAGCGATCGATTCGTCCAAAATCAGCCGAATCGACTTCGATTTGACCGAGCTAGAGATTTCTGAAGTTTGGCCCCGACGTCCCAGCTCACTGGTTGATTTCCACACAGGAGGTCGCCCGCGCAGAGCTCCGCGGGCGCGGCGACGGCCGCCGGGTAGGCCCCGTGGACCTCCGCCGCCGCCGCGATGGCGCGCCGCAGGATCGCCTCGTCGGGCGGGCTCGCGGCCAGCGCGTCGCGGAGCGCGGCCGCGAGGCCCTCGCGCGCCGCGCAGAGCCGGAGCGTCGCGTCCGCGTCCGCGGCCACGGTGGCCACGATGGCCGCGACGACGTCGGCCTGGGTCCTGCAGGACACGTCGCCGGACGCCGCGGCGAGCGCCGCCGCGCACGCGCTCCGGCACGCGGCCCACGCGTCGTCGCCCGCGACGGCGTCGCCGTCCTTGGCGAGCGCGGCCGCCGCGGCCGCGCGCGCGGCCGCGAGCGCCGCGCCGAGCTTCGCCGCGACGCCCGACGCCTCGAGGCGGTGCTGCTCCAGGGCCTTGGCCGCGCGCGCGAGCTCCGCGGGCGACGACGCGAACCAGTCGAGCGACGCGCGCGGCGGGATCCGCGCGGCGTCGTGCGCGGCCGCGAGCTCCCGCAGGCGCACCTTCTCCTCGTCGAGGGCCCTGAGCAAGGCCCGGCCCTCGGCCTCCTCGGGCGCGCCCATGGCGCTGCGCCCGTAGATGCGCACGAGGCGCTCGAGCGTGCCCAGCGCCTCGCGGAGCGCGGCCTCGTCGGGCTCGCCCGGCGCCTGGGCAGGAAAAGAGTGATTCAAGTTCGCTTCAACGTGAGTGTTCCGCGCGCGCGCGTTCCAAAAAAAAGCGCCCACGCTTCGAGGCCGTTCCGAAAGATGATCGCTCGTCCAAAAATCAGCCGAAACGAGGGGAAAACGGCCGAGAAAGGAGCCTTTGAAGTTGGGAATTTCGCTCTCTTTTGCCGCCCCGCCCGGCGCGGCCGTCGCGGCGCGGACGCCCTCGACGGCGCGGCGCCGCTCGACGACCATGGCGTACATCTGGTCCACCTTCTTGAAGACGGCGCTGTCGAGCTCGAGGCGCCGGCCCTCCTCGACGAGCGCCTCGAAGTGGTCGTCGACCTGGTCGATGGACCGCCGCGCGAGCTCCTCGAACTTGGCGTCGAGCTCCTTCTCCCGCGCGAGCTTCTCCTTGAGCGTGCGCAGGCGCCGCAGGTCCCGGCTCTCGAAGCGCGGCGCGCCGATCTGGGCGAGCGCGGCGTCGACGAGCTCCGGGTCCTTCTTCCGCTTGGCCTCCGCGTAGCGCTCCGCCGCAAAGGCGAGGACGCGCCGCAGGTTCCTCGCGAGGCGCGCGCGGGCGCCCGTGCCGATGATGAGGGCGACGTAGAACTCGACCTTCTTGCGCATCTTGAGCAGCGGCTGCTGCTGCGGCGACCGCCAGAGCACGAGCGACGCGCCGACCTTGCACTCGGAGACCCGGGGCTCGCCGGCCTTCTGGGTCTTCTCGAGCTCGCCGAGGAGCGCGGCGACGCTGCGGCGCTTGCCCGGCTTGTCGTCGATGATGACCGCGCGCGGCGCGGGGAGGCCCCCGCGGCCGCGCGTGTTCGGCGGCGCCGCGAGCCAGAAGCGGCGGTAAAAGTCCGCGAGGGAGCAGCGGAAGGGGTAGCCCTGCTGGCGGATCGTGACGGCCTCGAAGACGCCCGCGAAGTTCAGCTGGTCGTAGCACATCGTGCCCTCGAACAGATCCGGCTTCTTCGCCTTGTTCGGCTTGATGCACCTAATATAGTGCGGCTCCGCGTCGTTGAGCAGGCGCATGAGGTCGCCGAGCTGGCTCACGAAGCGGCCGCTGCAGGTGACCTTGGAGCCCTTCTTGTGGCCCACGGGGCCGTCGGGCGCGAAGAGGTTCGCGACGAGCGTGTTGGACGACGCGCACATGCAGTCGGCGACGTCGTCGTAGAGCCGGTCCTTGTTCTTCACGAGGAAGCCCTCGACCTCGTACTTGACGACGCCCGCGTAGTGCTTGAGCAGGAAGACGTCGGGGTGCGCTG